AGTAGAATAAACCAATCATTTGTAACCAATGAAAGTACCGCAAAAACTATTCCAGCCAAATTTACGATGCAAAATAAAATATTACAGATAACCATTTTGAAGGAATTTAAGGGGTAAACGCTGTTTCTTAATAATTTCATTATTACAAAGTTTATATCAATACACACAAAATTCAGGCAAATGACTAAAATCTCTTTTATAATAAAGAAATTTGATAACAATTGAAACCAAAACAAACTGTTTACTCTTCCACTAGTTTAAGTTTTATTTATGTGTAACTGCATGTCAATAGTAAGAAAAAAAGCCTACAAAACAAATATAATCTTCGCATTTGTCAAAACGAATATCTCATTAAAGTACTAGCAGTGGTCAATGTTATAAAACTTTTTATCGGCTTAAAATGCTACCGGCTGGAAATTTTATTATCTTAAATGAGTTGTTTCAATATTATAATTTTTTTTTTCAAAAATACCGTCGATAGTTTTCTACAGCCGAAACGTTTACAGTCGATAAATGTTCCGGAGGAGCGACCCACGCAAATTTTTGTTTAAGATCCTGAGATATGAATATTAAGTTGTAAAAACCTGTGGTTTAGAACTTTTCAAAGTACTTACCATGAGTTGAAAACGTAATACAAATTCATTCATTTTAATTAAGTGCACAAATCTTAGTAAATTTTAATTTCGAGCGATTTCTTTGTTAATATTTTGTTACTGAATTTGTCATGTAAGAAATATAAGTCATTTTCAAAATTTTAAACTTCAACTACTTTTTAGAAAAACATTGCTTATAAATATTATACTTTTATTTAACTTATTATTTATAACCCAAGTTCTGAGCTTCTATTTATCTAGTTTTTTTTTTTTTTTCGGTTTTGATTTAATATTTTTTATTAAACTTGTTAAATTTAAGAAAAAATATTAAAACTCAACAGTAAAAAGAGAAAAAAAAATTAGACAAATAGAAGCTCAGAGTTAGGGTTATGAATAATAAGTTGAAGAAAAGGTTTATAAGCAATTTTTATCTGAAAAATATTTAAATTTATAAAGTAAAAAATGACTAGTTAATTTTTATTTTAATTTTTCTAAAACTGAAGTATATTATTTTCATCACTCTAACTGTTAATATTATTATTACTATACTTTAATCATTGTAAATACTTTGATTCTTACTGTTGTTAATATTGCCATAATTTTTTTTATATTACTGTTTTTGTTATATTACTGTTGTTGTTATTATTGTTATTATTATTTTTGTTGTTATTTTTACAGTTTTTTTTTTTTTTGTTTACTGTTATTTGTATTATTATTAAAATAGTGTATACTTTTTATAATCTTTAATATTACTTTTATTCGCTGTTATTACAACTATTACTTTTATTTACTCCTACTTGCATTATTAATATATAAAATCCAATCTTAAAAATGTGTCAAATATATTTAAAGCTCACAAATTTCATTTTAATAAAAAGTAGATTTAAAGATATATAACATTAAATAAAGTGATATACATATTAACTTTCATGTTTTCAACCTCCATAACATTTATATAAATAATATATATGTAATGATTTCAAGCAACTTTACCTTGTTCTTGTAAATATTGAGCCAATAATTAACTCATGTAATACCAACTATTAACTTAAACTCAACCAAAACATTATCAAATTACAAATTCGATTTGCATTTAATTTGTAAAAAATAAAACAAATACAGATTCAACAGAAATACAGGTTCTACAGAAATAAAGGTTCTACAAAAATACAGGTTCTACAGAATTTTTGCAAAATAAAGGAAGTATTAATATACAAATTTAAATAAATTTTTTACACCTTCAATGCATATTTGTATATTATTTACTATTTATAACATAAATTTTAAATTTGTTTTCGTTTTTTCTTATTTTCAGAAATGTTTTATTTAAACAAATAATCTTTTAAAAAAATTTTATTATTACGAATTTACTCTATTATAATTGTTATTGTTTAAAGTTTTATTTTTTTTTTGTTAAAGTACAACAAATTTATATAAAAAAATGCAAAAAAAAAAACTATTTAAAACACAAGTTTTTAAGAGTAATACAGGTATAGCCATCTTCTAGTATATATGTATCAAGTAGTTGATAGTCAAACACATTCTTTGGTAAGCATATGGACAAGGTTTTATCTTCTTTAACTCTGAATGCATGCAAGTGGGCATTATATTTGTCACAAATAAGCAGCTTACCACAAAATACCCAGCATTGTCGAAATAATGTGAAGAATTTAAAAAAAAAAAGGAATTTCTTCTGTGTGTAATAAAGGTAAAATGAATGTATCATGCAAATGAAAATGGGTTCCATTGATATTAATAGCATTGCATTTCCAAATTGTTTCTTTTTTATCAAAAACATCATTGACAAAGAAAAACATCAATTTCTCCTGAATACAAGTTGATAAACTATTAAAAGTAATTGAACAGAGATTAGAACTTTTATAATTTTCTTTAAAAAAGTCAGAGGATGTCATCTCCCAACACTGTCGTAGTTGATGTCGTTTCGCAAGAGAGTAATCTATGTTTTTGAAATTTCTTATAATAGAAGCCAATTTTTTAAAATATAAGTGCTTTGCTTCAAAACGCATGCAGCATAAATATCGCAGAGGTCTATATTCACTGATAAGACGAGCATCAAATTTCATGAAATTTGACACCCAAATTTCATGAAATGAAATTTGGGTGTCAAATTATTGGGAAATAGTTCAATGAAATTTTGCAAAAAGTGCTCTACTAAAAACTGCAGATACGGCAGTACAGTTTTGGTAATTTTTGGAGCAAATATATAATCTGCTATATCTCGTAGCTGTAAATACAGCAACCAGTGCTTATTGCATATTGGTATGCGATTGCCAATTAAAAATGGCAGCAAACGAAACATACAAAACTTTTGTGATGCAGAACCAACAAAGTTAATAGAAGTACCAGAACGTGAAACAAATAGTACTGGCTTATTTTTCTTGTCATTTCTACCTATTTCAAAAATATTAAGCTCTAAATTATTCTGTTCCAATGTAATCAAGTGGTGCTCTTTAAATTTTATTAGAACTAGACCTATTAATTGTGGTATGATACCTTCTAACACATCATGCATGATGTCTGGAGGAAAAGACTGTATAACACTAAAATATGATAAATCATGTTAAGGACAGCGTTTTTCAACTCCATACATACTTGAAGAAATGAGACCTTGGCCAGATATAGCGGCTAAATGATAATGGTGTATTTCATTAGTTCGAAGTTTTGTATTGCATTCAGTCAAAACTACATTTTTTTCAGTGTAAGAAGTCATACACTGACGACAAAAACGCCCAGAATTGAAAACGCGACGAAATCCAGCAAGTGCATGGGCAGAAAAATTATCAGCAGATATAGTTGCAACACCTCCAAACAATTGAATTTGTTTACCATTAATCATAACTGAAATACCTTCAATTTGCAATGCCAGCAAATCTTGAATTAATGGTCTTAAAACTTGCTTGTAAGTTTATATTTCTTGATAAATTTTTCTTTTACAAAAATACATAAGTTTATATTCTGAAGCTGGGAAATATATTGCTCTTCAATGTTGCCCAAGAAGAAATAAAAAGCAGAGAGTTTATGTACTGTGCGATGGGCACCTATAGGATTACATACCTCGAACTCATCACAGTATAAATGGAGTCTTAATGCTTACTTGTCATCTTTAAAAAGATCATGCTTTTTACAAATGAAACCATCTGAATATGAGCATAACAAATCTGTGTTACTAGACTCCTCTTTTTCAAGTTTTCGTTGCATTGAATTCCAGATAAACTCATTTTCGACTAACTTTTTTAGCAAAGGTAAAATTGGTATATACTGAAAAGTTTCACTTTTTGATGTTGTTAAATGATTCTGATATAAATTTTCTGTTATACTGTGCAACTTTATTTCAACTGGTAGAATAAGACCTAAATGTGACTTGCTAAATGAAATGATTTTTTTGCTGGTATTAACTTTAGATAAAACTCGATCCAGAAGCAAATCACAATTTAAAAGTTCATTAAAATCACTACTATGGAGAAAGCTGTTGCCAAGTTGCTGCTTTATAAGAGTGCAAAAACAGTGGTTAAAATATGTCAGCAAAGATTGAACTTCATTTGCCACATTAATTTGCACAACATATGGAATTGAATGCCTTTCAGCTATTAAAACTAGAAACATTGCAAAATGTTGTTGTAAACTGCTAAGTAGATTGTCTAGCGGAGTCATTGAAGTGCTTTCTAAACTAGAATGAAAGTATTTTGTAGCTTCTCTATCAGTAATACTATCAAACTCTTCCATTATGTTATCATGAGCATGCTCAGCTAAAATTTCGTTATCTGATATTGTTTCACTAATGGTATTTTCAGACTCATTGGCTGATATTTGAGCTGCATTGTAAAAAGTACTATGCTTCTTGCGCATATGATGACGCAAACTTTTTACAGATGGGTATTTAGAAGAACAACCATCAATATGCAAACTTGAAGAAAACCTGCTGTGTGTTCATGCATAATATACAAATGTTGTAAATACTTTTTGAACGAATATTTCTGTGCACCACATGTACAACAAGTAAAACATAAGACATTACCCAGCAGGCACAATGACGTTGAAATAACGTTGAAACAACGTCGCAAAACGACCATATGCCACGTTGAAACAACGTTGAAATTTGGTTGAATTGGAAATAAAATCCGACGTCGAAAACTACGACGTTGAAACAACGTCAATGATTACGTTGTTTCAACGTTGATCTAACGTCTTATCGACTACATAACAACCATATTTCAACTTTGAATAGGTGATATATTCGGTTGATACGTAGTTGATACGACGTTAAAACAACGTTAAAACAACGTAAACTCAACGTTGATTTTTGTTTTTTATTTTGGTTAAACCCAATTAACTAAAAAATTAACTCAACTTTAATTGCAATAAAATAACACAATAAAAAAGCAATAATTTGCGCAGAGAATATTGTATTTCAAGTATATTAATCAGATACAACTAAATTGCTTCAAGGGACTTTATATACAATGCAAATAAAGTAAAATGTTTAAAAAAAAAAGTTTTATTTATCTGTAATATATTTATCAATTTATCAATAATAAGTATTATCAATAGTTCCAGAACAACTAGGAAAAAGTATGAATGTTAAACATCGGGTGAATCGCCTTATACGCGCCGACCACCACCATTTGATCTGTCGAGTGCGTATTTTAATAAAGTCATTATTCCTTTTCTTATTTCGGCAACTGTAGCAGTCACTTTAATTGACAAGACGCTCTCTATAAAAAAAAGGTATTGCCTGAGTAATTTGCATCAAATACATCAAAAAGTTAAAAATAAAATAGCATTAAAAAAACGAACTGTGATTTTTAAAATTATATAATTTTACACTTAACTTACAAGTAAATACCTAATGTTTGTTCATTTAAACTTCTCTTTACCTTTACCGCCAGCCATATTAAATTTTGATAATAAACCATTGGCCAACAACCTGCATTACACATTGTTATTATTATTATAGTAACATAAAAAATTGATAAACATGTTTATCAATTTTTTACAAAATACAAATTATTTTTAATGAAAAATTGCACAAAGGTTTCTTACCAAAGGTTTCTTACCAAATGCAAAAGGTTTCTTACCAAAACGTAATGCAAGTAAGAAAAAGAATTGATACAGGGGAAGAGTTTAGTCCAAGAAGACCACCTTCTAAACGCCAGAAAACACCAAGAGCGGACAGTATAATCAGAAATACCTGCCTGGAAAACAGAAAAAAAGCCAATAAACTTATTGACTAAGCTTATCCATGAAGCTGAGATTGTTGTGTCAGACCGGATCATTTGTAGAAGGCTAAAAGAAAAGGGATTGATGTCTAGCCAAAAATGTCAAAAAAATTTAAAAATATTAAAACAAATGTCAAAAATCTTATATTTATGCAAGATGGTGCAACTTGCCACACAATAAAAACTGTATATACTGAATATAACTGTATATATATATATATATATATATATATATATATATATATATATATATATATATATATATATATATATATATATATATATATATATTTATATATTTATATATATATATATATATATATATATATATATATATATATATATATATATATATATATATATATATATATATATATATATATATATATATATATATATATATATATATATATATATATATATATATATGTATGTATAACCAGACAACTCGCATGATCTTAACCCCATAGAAAACATTTGGGAAATAGTAAAGCAAGATATTGGAAAAAAAAAATAACCCAGAGTTGACAGAAACTATAAAAAATAAATTGCAAGCATGCCACAATGTGTTGAAGCAGTTATTGCAAATAAAAGTGTTTTTGCAAAATATTTATACTTTATATATATTTTATATAATTTATCATAATAATGAATAAATATTCAAAATGTTCAATTTTATTTGTTTATTTTTATCAAGTACAACTTTATAAATAAAAGAAAAAACTTTAAATTGTACCATTATTTTATATATTAAAATAATGGTACAATTTAAAACCTTAAAGTACAACCTTTGTACTTTAGCTTAGATTGTTCTTTAGCTCAAGGAAATACAAAAGTAAGAAAAAACAGTTTCAAAAAAAATTCTAATCAGACATAAAAAAAAAAAAAGATTTATTTTATGTATGATTTGTCAAACTTTTAAAAATACATGCTAATTATATTTTTGACACAAGTTTAAAACAAACTATAATAAAAAGATTCAAAAGACTTTTTATTTAAAACTACTTTTAACAAATCTTTGCATCACATTTTTTGTATTTGTCTTAATGGTTTTACCTCCAATTTTAGAAAGTTAGTTAACCTAAAGGTTTAAGAAAATAATAACACCACATTATTTTTATAGTACATTTATAAAAAGTTACAAGTAGATTAACTTAGGCTAAGTTATTATTAAGTACTTAATCAAAAAACAAAAAACTGCAAAAAGTTATGGTTTAAAACAAACCATCACTCCAGACCTCACCCAAGAATCAATTAAACTGTTATCATAATCACTAAATTACTGCTGCAAGTTCATCCATAGAATTTCAGAACTATTTGTCATGATATTACTTTAATTATTGGAAAGAGCTTTTACTAACATCTCCTTCTAACAACAAAAATATATCAGAAAGACAAAAAAACCAAACATTAATTAATTTCTAAAAGCGTTGAAACACAAGAAAAAAACAATTATAAAATAAAACATTATTCATAAATTAAATTAAATGTATTAATTTAGCAATCAATAAAATGTGTAAATCACTGAAGCATAGAAAAAAATGTTCAGAATCTTTTCTTCCTAAATCAACTTGCAGACAGACAATACCTTGAACTACAGTATGTGGAGTATGCATAAAAATTGTTTTCTGTTTCTTTTTTTGCGTTACAGGTACTTGCTTACTATTCTGTTGGTTTATGTTTTCTCTTGCATAAGCATGGTAGTGGTTCCTATAAAAATTAATAATAAAATAAAATTAATAATACTTGAATTAAATATCTTTTATAATAGTTACCATTTTCTGAATAAGAATCTGAGTATCACTAGTAGTGGCAAATTCAAATTTATCACATAACTCATGATCTAAGAATATTCATTCAAATTTAAAAATGCTTTAAATACATTATATAATAAAGAATATATAATAAAGAATATATCTAAACACTAAAAACAACATACAGAATGAAAGCATGTTAAAAAAACAAGTAAAAAAAAGTAATGACTTAATGTTTATATTAAAAAAATTACATTATCGCCATGACATTTAATTTTGAGCAACTTAAATCTGTATTAGTTAGACTGTGGTTTATGCATTTCATTGAAACAATTTATTACATTTAATGATGATGGCCAGCACATAAAATTATCAATCGAATTTTCTTTCTCTATTTCTCTGTATTTTCTATCCAAACAGCTAGAATGTACATTTTGCTTGCCTAACTATACTTTTTCAACTAAAAAAGTATAGTAGAAAATATAATAGAAAAAATACTCATATATTAAAAATTTGTTTGTGTGTGTTTGTGTGTGTGTGTATATACATTTATAATTTATATATATATATATATATATATATATATATATATATATATATATATATATATATATATATATATATATATATATATATATATATATATATATATACATATATATAATATGCATATATAATATATACATACATTATATATGTATATATATACATACATAATATAAATATATATACATACATACATATATATATATATATATATATATATATATATATATATATTATACATATATATATACATATATACATATATAACATATAACAAATTTAATGAAAAAATTTGTTTAACATCTACTTTAAACAAATAAACCAATTCTCTAATTTGATGAAATATCACAGTTATTAAAAAAGATATATATAATATTTATTTAACTGACTGCATCACAAGTTAAGTCAGTTGTTAAGTTGTCAAATTCACAACTTTATTAAATAAATAACAAAAGATAATAAATAAAGAATTAACGTTGAGACAACGTTGAGAGTCTACTGGGAAGAGTAGTGTATTTCATGTAAATTAAAAAACTACAAAAAATTCTTTTAAGGGAGTATATATAAGAAATAAAAAGAATGTTAACATTATATATATACATTTTTTGTTAACATATACCTATATATCCGAGTTGCCATTTATGCCCTGACCACCACCATTTGATCAATCGCGTGCATATTTCAATATATTCATGATATTTTTTCTGACTTCAGCAACTGTAGCAGTTGCTTTACTTAACATGATGCTCTCTATAAAAAAAGGTATTGCCTAAGTAATTTGCAACAATTACAGCAAGAACTTCAAAATAAAATAGCACCACAGCATCAAAATGTGCTTTTCAATAATAGATAACATATTCATGACTTACCAACAACAACCTCATAAATGTTTGTGCCTCCAAATTTCTCTTTACACTTGCCACCAGCCATGTTAAACTTTGATTGTAAACATTAGTCATCAACCTACAATAAAACATTATTATTTTTATAGATACATTAAATACTGATACATAATAAGGTTAGCTAGCTCGATGGTACTGTGTAATCTGCGGAATTCCCAATGGTTTTAAAATTCCAAAAATTCAATGACTTTTTTGTTTGTTTGTATTATTAGGTCAACTTAAATAAAAATTCTCAAAAAATTTTAGAAAATATATATATATATATATATATATATATATATATATATATAAATATATATATATATATATATATACATATATATATACATATATATATATTTATATACATATATATATACATATATATATATATATATATATACATATTTAGATACATATATATATATATATATATATATATATATATATATATATATATATATATATATATACATATACATATACATACATATATATATATATAAATATATATATATATATATATATATATATATATATATATATATATATATATATATATATATATATATATATATATATATATATATATATATATATATACTATAGAATATTTATATGCGCAATTGCTCACTTTTTTTGCTAGCCTAAATTAAGTGAGCGTTTTTAGAAAACGATGAGGGAAAACGAAGAATAATGAATGAAAAGGTTGCTGACCCATACCAAACCCTCAGTCGATGTAGCAGCACTCCACTTCGAGTCAGGCTATTTGGACCAATGAGAGAGAATTACAAAAAAAAAAACTACGAAAATAAAGTATACTTTAACGCGAAGAAACTTAAAGCAAAATAAACTGTTAAAACAAGTATTTTCGAAACATTGCTCTTTTATAATTTCTTTATAAAATTAAGTGACATTTTTTATATAAAGTAACATCTTACAATTGCAAAAAAAAAAAAAA